AATCTCTAAAAACAAACTAGTTCACCTTGTTCAACCTTTTAGGCTTACAAGCATCCATCCCATCAAAGCATAGCGTGCTAGCTAGTGCCCTGACAGTTGGACAGCAGTTATTTTTTACCTTCCAAGGGACTAGGGAAAGGAAAATCTGTATAAGAAGGCTAACCACTCAGAAGGCATTGTCTGGGCTAGTGTTACTGGAAGAATTATGGGAATTGAAGTAGGAAATTAAGCAATTGAGGCCTAGCATCTAAATTTAAAATTTTGCAGATGTTTTACATGATGTAGTTTTTCCTGAATTTTAAGTATCTACAACCCACACTCAACAATCCTGCCTCATCTACACACTTAGTGTAATATTGTTAGTATTTAAATATTTATTTGAAAGCCAGTGTTAAAAGAGAAAAAGGAAGAAGCAGGTCCTCCATCGATGGTTCATCCCTAGAAAGCCTCCATGGCTAGGGCTGAGCCAGGCGCAAGACATGAGCCAGCAGTCAGGAGCCTCTCCTGGTTCTCCTACATGGGTGGCCAGGAGCCCAAATACTTAGGCCATGCTCTGCTGCTTTTCCCAGGCCATCAGCAGGAACCTGAATGGGAAGTTAAGTAGCCGGGACTTGAACTGATACCCCTTACTTCCTATACTCTCGTTAGCTTGATACTTTGGAACAGAGTCATTGTTAAAAAATATTAATATATTTTTACATAGGAACTTTATTAGCTATTATGAATGGCAAATCAGAATATTTTGTCACACATAGAAAAATGAAATAATGAAAATACAGTAATGTTATTAAAATGGCTATATACCATTTTTTGTATCTTTCTGATAAAATTGAAGTTTAGCATTATAGGGATGGTAGAAACATTTTAGATACTGTCCTCCTTTTTGAGACTATTAGACAAACTGAAAATGAATCGGAAAGGGGAATACCATCTCTGACTTACTTCAGAAATATGTACTTGGTAAATCCACTTAGTGATTCTGACTTGTCCTACATATGGTCAACAATTTTACTAGTTAAGAGAGTTGTCTGAGTACTGGACACAGAAGCTCAGTCCCATCTTCAGGAGTGGACATTTGGCACAAAGTTTAAGGTGTCAGTTAAGGTACAATCTGGGATGCCAGCATCTCACCTTAGAGTACTTAGGTTTCAGCGCTTAGCTAAGTGAGTGCCTTGATTTACTGATTGCCTGCTTCTCTCACGTGGTGATCCCCTTGGCAGATTTTGTGTAAATGTGATCTCATTCCCTGCACAACAAGTCAGAATGCCTTCTTTGGAATTAGCTTATGGAATTAGCGTGTTAGTTTTGCCGGCTGAGGGGGTGTCCTGGGATTGTAACATAGGAATGCAAGAACCTAAGACAGGCAAAGTGTGAATAGAGGACAGAGGATATGCAAGGGAACTATAGAGATAGAATCTTGCTTAAGAGTCAACTTAGTTGACTTTCAGCTATTGATTCCAGTCCTTAAGCTCCACTCTATTTCTGCTCTTCAGTCCTATGGAGTTCCTTCATGCTTACACATTAATTGCTTTTCAGTTAATTGCTATTAAAACTGAACACTTGTGGCAGGCCCTGTAGCATAACAGGTAAAGCTGCAGCCTAGCACAGACAGTGGCTTTTGAGATGGGTGCTGATTTAAGTTTGGTTATTCCACTTCTGATCCACCTGCTTGGCAATTAGTACCTGGGAAAGCAGCAGAGGATGGCACAAGTCTTTCTAATTGATTCTCAAATTTCTGCAATCGGTGATAATTATCTATTTTTTCAGGTTCAGGATTGCTCTTGGTTTTTCTATCTATTACATTAAACTGAACAAATTTTGCCTCTTACACACACACACACACACACACACCCAAAATTACATTGGTTCATTTTCAAAGCTCAGGCAAATGTTTTCTGTAGATGCCACATTCTGGATTCATTTGCTTGCTCCTGCATGCTGAATTTGTTCCAATTTGTACCTACAGACAGACTGGTGTTTTCCAACTTTGGCACCATTAACATCTTGGGCTAGAGAATTCTTCGTTTTGGGGGCCACATTGTCCCGTGTATTGTAGGATTTGAAGTACCATCCTTGGCTTCTTTCTACCAGATGCAGTAACAACACCAAGGCGATGATGACCATATATGTCTTTAGACACTGCAACAAGTACCTGGATTAGAGGTGGGGGAGAGCCACTCCTAGCAAGGGTGGTGAACATCTGGCCCAGGGGTTGTATATAAGGCCCAAGAAATCATTTGGTCTCACCCTTCTAAAGCAAACAAAGGCAGGAATCAACATTCAATAAATGTGTAGCAGGCTAATTTTTTAAAAAAAGATTTATTTATTTTTATTGCAAAGTCAGATTTATAGAGAGGAGAGACAAAGATCTTTTATCCACTGGCTCACTCCCAAAATGGCCACAATGAATGCAGTGACTAGATCCGAAGAAGACAGGAGCTTCTTATGGGTCTCCCACATGGGTGCAGGGTCCGATGGCTTTGGGCCGTCCTCCATTACTTTCCTAGGCCATAAACTTGATGGGAAGTGGAGCAGCCAGGACACAAACTGGTGCCTGTATGGGATCCTGGAGTATTGCAAGGGGAGGATTAGTTGATCTACTGAAACAGGCCCAAGCAGGCTGATTTTTAAGCTAATAATTTTGCATGGCCCAAGAATGAAGTTAGGAATATCCAAATAGCCCTTGGCAGAAAACAGGTTCTCCATTTTTTGGCCAGAGGTTTGATTAAATTCAGGCTCAACAATTTTGAGAGTATTTCCTGAAGTGGTTTTTTTTTTTAAGATTTATTTTATTTTTATTGGAAACTCAGATATACATATACAGAGAGGAGGAGAGACAAAGAGTAAGATCTTCCGACCGATGATTCACTCCCCAAGTGAGCACAATGGCTGGTGCTATGCCGATCCGAAGCCAGGATCCAGGAACTTCTTCCAGGTCTCCCACATGGCTGCAGAATCCCAAGTCTTTGGGCCATTCTTTACTGCTTTCCCAGGCCACAAGCAGGGAGCTGGCTGGGAAGTGGAGCTGCCAGGATTAGAACTGGAGCCCCTGTGGGATCCCGGTGCATGTTCAAGGTGAGGACTTTAGCCGCTAGGCCATGCTGCCGGGCCTGAACTGTTTGTTTAATCATACATGTAACCTTAGATTATTTCACTATTAGTAATGGCTAGCTTTGATCACTTGTTCAAGGCAGTAATATATTTTTAAAAGGGATGTTTTCTCTCCTAAGTAAGCTATGCCTTAATACTTTGAGACCATGTGAATATACTGTACTCACTAAAATTACCCCCAGTGGTATTTATTATCTTACAATGAATTTTGTCTCCCTCAGTTGTAATTATTTGGAAAAACTGCTATTTTTCTAATGTTATCATTTGTTCTATATTTAAGAAAAATGTTTCAACTTCTACCCTTTCCTCTTTTGGGGTGTCATTCCATTGTTTTAAATTTTTTAAAACAACTGAGTAAATTCCATCAGTCAGTGTCATTCTTTTTGATGTTTACTGGGTCCTTTATTTCTCCGGTAGAAATCACTTTTTCTTTAACCCATTCTTTACAGGAAAGAAACTTGGTCGTGGAGCATTTTGTCAAAAGTATTGTAAGTACCATGTAACAGTACATTGCTACATGTGAGGAGAATTATGTGAAGGATTTCCATTTAATGTAAGAAATTCTGATAATGAGAAAAATCTATCACTTTTTTTCATAGTTTCACTACTTGCAAAACGTGAACAATCGGCAAGAGAAAATTCCACTGAACAACCATTAGAAGTATTTGCAACTTAACGTGGTATTTGCAACTAAGTGATATATATATATTCGTGATTCCTGGACACGATGAAAGGTGCCTGTACCGTGAAATACATTTGCAGCATACACACAACTTAAACATTGTATACTACAGGAAGCTATAGGGAATAGCATGGAATTGCTTTTGTTCTAAAAGCCCTTGGACATATACTTCATCAAAATTATCTAAGCATTGTGCTTGGAAACACATTTCCATAGAATCCGACTATTCAAAAAAGTCGCGATTGTAGAACTATCACTTTTTGGAAGGACCAAATGAAAGATGTGTTAAAACCATTTAAAAAAATGTATGCTTCGGACATTATTCTGCTTGTGTGACTTCCGATTTCTTCCCTAGTCCCCAAGAGACTTGCCCAGTTTGGCCGACTCGGCGCAAATCTGTATCCAAAGTTCTAGTTTAGATTAAGAGTCCTAAAGGTGAAAAACGCACAGGGTGGAGCGAACTTTTAGGGAGCGTCTACTCGGCCCACGTACCTTTTCGACTGCTCCTCCCCGATTGGCTAGCGTGGACATCAGCTGCCCAATCACACTGGAGCGTCCTTCGCGCATGCGCACTGAGCACCGGCTACCCGCGCCTCAGCGCTCCGGGCCCAGGGCTGTAGTCCGATGCGGTGAGGCCCGCTGCGTGTGGCCGGATGGAGGCCGCCCTGGGCCGGTCAGGGAAGGCCAAGCCAGCACTGTTGTGACCCCGAGAGCCCCCACACTGTTTACGTGCAGCTCAGTCCCTCCACTGTGCTGATAAGGGCGGTCCTGTCCGAGCCGCGGTGTTGCCTTTCACCTCCCGGAAAGGCGAGGGGAAAAGGAGCCAAGTCTTTTAAAAAAAAGTCAACTTTCCCTGTCCGCAGAGTGGGCTGGCATCGGGGTACACGCATGTCAGCCCCAAACACGGCCTCCCTGGCGCCCTCCGGGACGCACCGCCCCTCCCGCCGGCTCCTCCCTGTCCTGTCTGAGGTGGCCGCGGCTCGGCGCTGGGAACGCGCGCCCCACTTGGCGGCTGTGCCAAGTCCCCCGTCCGCCGGCGTCCCAGGCTGGGCACTTAGGAAGAGGGGTCGGCCGAGAGGCCGAATCTCCACAGTCCTCCACAGTCCCGACGCCCCGGGGCCCGGCGCCCTCCCAGCCTTCCGCCCGGCCCGGCCCGGCCGCTTGGAAAACGCGGCGAGCGGAACCCGCACGCGGAAGCGCCGGCCGCACTGAGCATGCCCAGTGGCGGAGCCGACCACAGTTTTTTTTTTTCTTTTCTTTTCTTTTCCTTTTTTTTTTTTTTTTTCGGTCTCAAGTAGGAGGCTTTCCCCCCACCCCCACCCCCTTCTGAGCCCCCCCTCCCACCCCCGGCCTAAGCAGCTACCATGGCCGAGGTCCCCAGCGCGGCGTTGTCCCAGGCGGGTTGGTAAGTGGTGTGTCCCGCCGGCCGGCCAGCCGCGGGAGCGGGCCGGCGCCCCCGGAGGAGGGTTGGGGCTGGGGGCGGTGGGGTGCTGGTCGGGGGTAGGCGGAGGCCGCCGCCCGCCTCCGGCCTCTCCCGGGGCCCTCCAGGCCGACTCCGCCCCCGGCTCCACGCGGAGCCGAGCGAGTCCCCCCAGCTCCCTTCGGAGCGGCGGCCTGGGCCGTGGGCTGCGGGCCCGGAGAGGGACCCGGGGCGCGGGCGGAGGCGCAGGCCCGAGGCGCTCGGCTGCGGGCTGCGGCTCTGCCGGCGGCTGCCGCTGCTCCGCGGGCCCGCGGGAAGTTGTGGGGAGCGCAGCCCGCGCCGCCTCCCCAACCTGCCTTCTGGTTCTCCCCATCTCCCCGGACAGGACGGACCGGGGAGTGCGGAGCTGGCCTCGACGGCTGCCGCACAACTTCTGAGGCTGAGAATGACCTCACTGTCAACTCGCGGGGGCTGCTCTGGAGAACTTTCCTGCAAAGGGCTGACGTTTGTCCTTATGTCTAAAAAGATTTCTTGTCAAGAGTTTAGGATCTGAGAGCCATGGGGGAAAAAATCAGGGGAAACTAAGCATTCTCTGGACTTAAGCCATTATGGTTGTAAACATACAGTTTAATTGAGTCCTGCTTTTCCCAGGAGAGCATGGGTACAGCTTGGGGTGAAGGGATTGGGTAACATCAAGGACGAGAAAGATTTGACCCAGTCTCCAAAATTACTATCTTAGTGAGATGAGAAAGGGAAGCACTGAAAATGGTCAAGCGCTACAACAGGGACAGTGCAAGCCAGCGCGTCCAGGGAAGAGGCACGCAAGCTTTGCACTTGGAGGGAGAGTTTCGAGTTTTTGCAGAAACAGGTGCTGAGATGGTGTGTAGGTAGGAAAGTGCCTATTATTCTACACAAGTGACTTTCGATGCTTTTATTGGTGCAAAGAGGAGGCTGTGCACCTAGCTGGGAGACCAGAAAGGTAACCAGGAAGCCGTCGCTGTCCCAGACACGGATTTGCCTGTCTGAATTAAGCTTTTTGTTAGTGTGCTCCTGGTCACACCTGTGTTTGGTAGAGGTCGTTTTTGGCTGTCCAGGCTCTGTTGTTTTAGCATACATTGCATTTAACAGGTGAGAAAACCCAGGGAAAGAAATGGTGGTTAACTTTCCCAGCATGACAGCTAGAAAGTGGAGTTGAATGTGTGACAGTTGGGTTCTATTTCCAAACCTGGTATTTTTAACCCTTGTGTGTGATTGGTGGCGTTGTATTTTCAGTTGGCATAGTAAGTTGTGGAGCTCAGTGTTCCCCTTGCTCAGTTCGGCTCTTTTTTTTTTTTTTTTTTTTTTTTTTTCTGTTCATTGGTGGTTCCAGGGACTGAACCACCTTGTGGGTTCTCAGTGAAGTCTGACACAGTTGGTTTTGGAATATCCCTGCCCACCCAGGCTAAGTCTACGGAAGCTTAGCATCCCTCCTGACTTTGTTACATTTTTATTTTATAGCCTAGCAATGTCTTTTGGCTGTTGCCACTTTGTCATGCACCGTGTCTGCATTTTTTTTTCTTTGTACCTCTTCTGTATGGCAGTGGCGTTTAAAGGCGATGGAATCTGTAGGGCTGACAAGACTCTCTTGCTAAGAGTTTTAGAGTTTTATGTAATTCCTTGTAGGTCTTGGACTGGGAGGCATGTGCCAAGTAAGACACCAGGATGGCTCTTTTCCGGTGTGTTGCACTGCGTGTTTAACTCAAGACTGACTACATCAAAATACCTGATCTCAAATGTTAGATAGAAGGAGCAGCTGTGGTGACTCCTTCCCATTCTGACATCCTGGCTTTCCTCTGTCAGTGCAAACCATTTTACCTTGTACTCAAGTCTTCTATGTACTTACTTATAGGGCCTTAAAAATGATGCTGAAATGTACAAAACATTAAATCTGTCAGTGAACATAGCAGATAGGGAAACATCTAACATAGCAGATAGGGAAACATTTAGTGCTAAATGGCTGTGATCTTGAGGGGTGAAAAATTTATGTGTATACCTATCTTACTCAAGCTTATGTAATTTTTGAGCACTGTTTGTCCTCTTGTCTCCAATCTTCCCTGTAATGCGTTCAAAAGTTAACTTTAAAAATTTAAGTCTGTGTTTGGGATTGGTGTGATGGCACAACAAACTAATCCTCCACCTGTGGCACCAGCATCCCATATAGGTGCTGATCCATGTCCTGGCCGCTTCACTTTGGATCCAGCTCCCTGCGAATGTCCTGGGAAAGCAAGGGAGGATGGCTCAAGGTCTTGGGCTTATGCACCCACCAGGAAGACCTGGAAGAAGCTCCAGGCTCCTAGCTTGACATTTGCTCAGCTCTGGTCATTGCTGCCATTTGGGGAGAGAACCAGGAGTTGGAAAATCCCATTCTGTCTTGCTGTCTCAGTCTGTATTTCTCCCTCTTTCTCTCCCCTCTCCCATGTAAAATAAATCTTTAAAAAAAATCTAAATATATATTTAAAAATATATTCCAGTAGTAGTACCATAGTAGACTTTATACTGGTTTTCTTCTTTTGATTCTTGGTGGCCATTTGTACAGAAAATACGGTGTGTCTTCTCTCAGCCATTAAATTCACTTAACTATAGATGTGAAAGTAGCAAAGAAATGGAAACAAAACTCCATCTGTACCGAGCATAAGTTTATTTCTTGTTATTATTATTAAACTAATATAATATGAAAATTATCTTAATAGCATTTCTGTTCTAATTATTATAAGTCATCTATAGATGATTATATATAGGCATCAAGTCTTTATCAAAGTGTTTTGATGAGAAAACCATGGGATAAACAGAAAAAGAAGCAATTTCAGTATTGGTTACAAGTGATTATTGCTCTCTTTTCTTGAAGAGTCTGCCCCATTTCACATGTTCTCCTGAAATTACTCCTTTGAAGATGTGTAGCACCTCTGGGTATTTCTTCTGGAATTTGTAATTACTAAATTTTGACATCACTGTAGATGAGTGCTTCCCAGCACATAGAAGGAAGTTCTTCTCAGACACATGACTGATCAGCAGCAGACCAGTTTCTTATTGCAAAGCCCACCACTGAGCCTTTCTGGTTGGTGTAGTTTCAGTTTTCCCAGAGGCACATCTGTTCCTCAGAAGATTGCTAGTAGATATTCTCAATCTTGGATGAGATATTGTGCCTAGGTGTCACCTGTTTAGTAGTGTCAGAACAACTACATGTTTTCGTAAGATATTGGAGACAGTAGTCATACAATAAGTTTTATGTAAAGGGTATCATGTTATTCAAGCACAACTTTTGGGGAATAGGTATACTTGTGAAGAGCATTGGAAGCTCTTTACAAGGTCGTGAAAAAACAACAGGGTATTTTTTATTATTTAGAATTATAAAATAACCTTTCATTGCCATATTAATTCAGATACTGGTGTTACATTGTTTTGAAAAGGATCAATACTATAAAGATTTTTTTTGGCTGCTAAACAACACCAGTAGAAATCATTTGTTTTTTATTTCGATCATAAAATAGTTTCCTTTAACAAGCATTTGAAATTTTCTCTGACTTGCATTGTTTTTGAAATTAAAATACCCAAATATAACAGGCTTATTGGCCTTTAGTCTCAGAATGTGATGGTACTTCAAAAGCTTATGGACAGGGCCCAGCGCGGTGGCACAGTGGTTAAACGTCCTCGCCTTGCACGCCCGGGATCCCATATGGGCGCCGGTTCTAATCCCGGTGGCCCAGCTTCCCTTCCAGCTCCCTGCTTGTGGCCTGGGAAAGCAGTCGAGGACGGCCCAAAGCTTTGGGAACCTGCACCCGCGTGAGAGACCCGGAAGAGGCTCCTGCTTTGGATCGGCATAGTATCGGCCGTTGTGGCTCACTTGGGGAGTGAATCATCGGATGGAAGATCTTCCTTTCTGTCTCTCCTCTCTGTATATCCGCCTTTCCAATGAAAAAATAATAAAAATAGATCTTTAAAAAAAAAAAGCTTATGGGCAAGTGAAATTAAAATTTTATTTTTGTGCAGACATTTAAAATCCATGCATATTTTTTCATGAGCTTTGTGAAGACCCTTGTGTGTAACATATTACTTTGCTTCCTCTGTTATAACTGTTCAAAGGGACTGGATATTCTCTTAAACTGTGCAGGTGTTCAGGTTTTAAAACTTGCTGTGATTTTTTTGGGTGACTAACCTATAAATCTAGTTTCAGCTGCTTGTAGACTTGACTGCCTCCAGCATAAAGGAGGTATAAAAAGAAACCTGCTACCTCAGCATGTCGAAAATAATTTTTCCTTTAACCCAGCAACATTTGCTAAATCAACGAAAAATTACATAGTAACATTTCAGGAGCCATAAAAATATGACTGCGTCAATGTATTTTGCTTTACATCTTTTCTTTTTGACAAGAGAAGAATATTGACAGTTTAACTTACCATGTTACCGTTAAGACACATCAATCTAGATTGTTTTCCATTTTGAAAGACCTTCTAGTATATGAAAGTAGCTCGGGAACACTTAAGTTCCAGGTAATTTCTGAAAGAAGCAGACTGTGCTTCTAGTAATACAAACACTTTCATGTAAAAAAAAAAAATCACAGATACACTGTGAAATTACAGGACAAAGAAGAGGGAACATGGTTTTTATAGTAATAATGTATTAAGAAGGGATTAAATTAAAGATATTGGTAGCAGAAAAAAAAAACATAGTGATAGATAACAAGTGGAGGAATAAGGGGAAGGAATGGCAACAGGGCTCGCCAGAGAGCCGATAGTCCCTTGGTCCTGTGACCCCTAAGATGGATACCTCTGCTTGATTGGTGTGTCTGTGTATGTGTGTGCATGTGCCATCCTTTGACACATGTAATATAGTTTGATGGTCTTTGAAGTAGAGACAGAGTGCTTCATGTTGCGGTACAGCTTGTTAGGCTGACATTTTTGGTTCTGGCATCTCACGTTGGAGAGCCAGTTTGAGTCTCAGCTGCTCCA